CACCTGTTGAACCCGATTCGTACTCATCGTCGCTGTGCAAGTTCTTCAGTGCCAGAACCACAGGCAGTGTGTGATATGGATGTTCCAGGATGCATCGTTCGAGAATCCGGAAGATTCGTGCGGAGAAGCCATACTGTTGCCTGATATCATTGCTTATGTGAGCGGCCAACTGAGGCACCAGCGGCACGAACTTGAATGAGGGTATGGTGTCCAGCTCGTCTAGCAGCTTCTCGTTCACCTCATCGTCGTACATGTTGTCCAGCCAGAGTGCCACCAGCCGGAAGATTAGCAGATTGTACTTCTCGCTGCTGCGTAGCGTCCTTAAATAGTATTTCAGTGCTTGCGCAAGATAATTGCGCTTCTCCTGTTCGATGTTCTTCAGCTCGGCCGCGTCGTTCGTCGATTGTTTTTGACTGATTATCACGGCGCGCTTTAAGTACTGATTGCTCATCATCTGTGCGTGGTCCACTTTATCCGCACTGCTACAAGCGTATTCCTTCAGTGCCTCATATGTCGGCGAATTCATGTATGTGCTGATTTGTTGGTACTGTGCATCAGCAAAGCGCGCCAGTGCAGCCTATAATGAAAAACATGAAGTATATCAAGATAAATAAAATTCTTTCTACTGAGTTAATTAATTGAGAAGATAAATGCAATATAACACACGTAACAAAAATAAAACTTAAAATTTAAGTAGAATAACTTCAAAAATACATTTTTTGTAATGTTTCTAATTTCAGTAGAACGAAATTTAAAAATTTCGGAAATAAAAATAGATAATAGTAAATGAAAATAAAAAAAATAAAGAGAAAAATAAAACTTATAAGTAACAATGTAAGTCGATTTATGTTGTTTTTGCACGCAATTTCTCAATACCGATTACTTTGCATATATTTATCCTCCTACCTGCGTATCATGTAAATTTTCGATAACATCGGACGTTTGCTTGTCGATAGCTTCGCTGATCTCAATGGACACTAAATAATACTTTTGTATTACTGCCTGAGGATTTTCGGACTTAGTTTCCGCCATCCAATCACCGTAGACTCGTAGAGCCTTAGCCTTCAGACTTGGTTTTGGATCCTTTTTCTCGATTAGGCTCCGTAACAGATGACGCGCTATTACCTGCTCGCCTTTCATCCACGTCAAGAGTGATTCTTGATAGAGCAGTTGATTCTTCAGATTCGTCGACAGATTTTGATGCAACTCGAGAGGTCTCAGCGCTCGGGTGGCCACTGAGAAATTACCCTGACTCTCCGCGACCTTTGCCAGGTCCAGGCAAGTATCAAAAAATGCTTTCTGTACGTCTGCATTCGTCCGCAGAGACTCACGGATACGGAACATCGTGATACGCTGCGATAGAATCGGCTCCACGTGATCGAACTGACCGATCAAACTGATCTTGTGTTCGTTCCAGCGTTGCAAAATCTCCGGATACTTTTTTTCCGAAGAATCAGCTGCCCAGCTCAGTTGCTCGATCTCACGCAACATCCGCAGTTGCGATAGCTTTTGATTGACGATCTTGCTACTCTCAGGGCTGATCACTCGCAACTCGTGTATCACGCTCATGCGGCCGCACTCAATCGCCCGATCTATACCTCGCCGGTCGTTCTCATGAAAGCATTTCAGTGCATGGTAATGGTGAACATGGAACGCATTCTCCAGCAACTCCACTCGTAACTGTTGAGATTGGAAGTCGTTATAATTGGCGACGGTGGCGTCGTTGACAGGTAGATCCCACTTGCTGAGTCTCCAGGCGCACTCATAACTAGAGGAAGAAATTCACTTATAAATTTTTATGCTCAATTACAAATTAATAATGAGATTATATAGCGAGTAATATAACACATTTAATATTTATTAAAATATAATTCTACTATAATCTTTCAATTTATCTGAAACATTTCGACTTTTACTTAGTTTTCTTCAGTTATTCTACCTAATATGTTTTCCTACTATATAATTATATTAATTAGTTATTAAACATTGATTAGATACGCTTATTAACGTTATTAAATTTGGTGACAATTCGCATTAGAGATCTTATGCGCTTACTATGTCCATGTGTGAATCCGAGTTTCCAAACTTTTATGTAGTGGAGTGAATATAACATAAGACGTTAATATAAGCATATCTAATCAATGTTTAACAATTAATTAATATAGTTATATAGTAAAAAAAACATATTAGGTAGAATAACTGAAGAAGACTAAGTCGAAACGTTTTAGATAAATCGAATGATTGTAGAATTATATTAATAATATTAGATGTGTTAATATATTGATCGTTACATAGCCTCATTATTCATTTGTAGTTTAGCAAATCACACTTTGTTTTTTGTAAAATTCATATTTTATGCTCAAGTTATCAAATGAACTATATATTTACTTCTTTATTTGCAAATTCTTATGTAATTATAATTATATATACGTAATTCACCTAAATTTCTCATCTAGGCTACCGCTCAGAAATTGCCACTGGAGAAATTGCAGTCCCGAGCGGTGTAACGCGTTTGCCATCTCCATCCTGGCGTTTGCCAACAGCGAGTCATTGTGATGGGACAACTCGATATCCAGCGCGAGCATGACCTCGTCCCAGCGATTAGTACGGGCGTAGTATTGCACACGAGAATCATGATCAAGCACGTGCGACAACCAAGCCCCAGCGTCTGGATCGCTAATGTTCAAGTAGGTGTCCAACATGATGTTTTGCAGCACTCGGCCGATTTCTGGCTGGCGCTCATAGATGTAGTTGATCCTCGGGTCACTGCTGAAATCCGGATAGTCCGTCGAGATTGACCCGCAGGCGAGTTGCGCGAATAGCAACGCTGTATAGTATGCGGAGCACTTGTGCGCCGCTCTGGCCAGGTAGACGTAATCGAGTCTTAACGTCGCGCCATCCGGTAGCTGAGCGCGTATGTGGTTCACCATGTCCAACATGCGGCGTACGATCTTCTGGTCGCAACTATTATCGCCTTTCGACATCGGCGATGCGGTAGTATCCGCCTCATTGATTGCAAAGTGTTGCCTAATTGATATGAATTATGAATATTTCATGACATTAAATAGGATGTCCATTGAAATCTTGTAAAAAATTCCGAGAATTTTCAGATTTTCAAAGTATTTATGTTTAAAATTCTAAGTAAGATTAGAAAGTTTTTTAATACTTTGAAATAATGAAAGCAATTTTTAAATTTTAATCTAAGTAAAATTCCAAAATTTCCCAGATTTCCAATTCCGTAAAAATCATTGATTTTCAAAAGTAAAGAGAAATTCTTTGAAAATTCCAAGTTTTTCTAAGTAGTAAACACCTGAAATTACCTTTTAAATTTCCCGTCGTTAAACATTTATACTTAAATAAATTAATAGTACCTAAAAAATTGATTAACGCAATCACACATGGTATCGATAAATCTATCGTTCTCATGGATGACGAGGTAAACGATTCTTGGCAAAATCAATTCGCAGAATTCAACGCTGAGTCGACAAATCGACAGGAAGTTTTCCAAGTAGGAGTCTATGAAGCATTCGGCGACGCTGCAGGTGACTTTAATGATCCATTCGGCGTAATTCTCGTTGTTCTGGATTATCCACAGCTCATTTTCTGGATTCATGACAACGCGAAATTTTGCAGTGTCTATACTGAAGGACGTCTGCCTGATGCAACGGCCGCGAGCAAATGGTCGGATATAATCAATCTTCAGAGATGTGCACTCAAGGATGTTCGACAAGTCTGTTGAGTATTTGGGGTCAAATAGTTTCCGACCGTTGGAGGTCGACAGCACCGCATAAAGGGCTTCAGCGCTCACCTTAAATACAGTTAATATGTATATTATTTATTATAGGATTAAAAAAAATATTTTTTTAAAAGAAATGTTATACTTAAGGGGTTATACTACCCAGGCGCACTGAAAAATGAACGTTTTTTTTGGGAATTTTTTTCTTGGAAACTATTCAATGGATCATGGAAAATGAAATTTGAGGCTTTATTATACATGTTTTGAGGTATAAAAAAAATTTTT